TTTACATTACGAAATTAGTGGCATGAAATTAATTTCGTGACATTACTTTTACCATCAGTTTCACATGTAATTTAATAGTTTCGCAATGCAATTTCAGGCCTCCTGCGCTGTGCGGACGTGTGTATTTTTAGCTCACGCGCGCTTCAAGCGTTGAAAATGGCAAACCAAAGATGGAGTACAGATAAAAATATAGAATTCAATAATGACTATCAGCGACAAGAGTACCTCTGGGACCCGAAACACCTACAGTAAAAAACTCAAAATTATCTCACTCATTCGATTTCACTCATTTTGAAGTCGTCGTGGCCTAAAGGATAAAACGTCCGGTGCATTCGTAGCGATGCAACGGTGTACAAATCCCGCAGGCGGGTACCAATTTTTCTAATGAAATACGTACTTAACAATTGTTCACGATTGACTTCCACGGTGAAGGAATAACATCGTGTAATAAAAATCAAAACCCGCAAAATTATAATTTGCGTAATTACTGGTGGTAGGACCTCTTGTGAGTCCGCACGGGTAGGAACCACCGCCCCGCCTATTTCTGCCGTCAAGCAGTAATGCGTTTCGGTTTGAAGGGTGGGGCAGCCGTTGTAACTATACTGAGACCTTAGAACTTCTATCTCAAGGTGTGTGGCGCATTTACGTTGTAGATGTCTATGGGTTCCAGTAACCACATAACACCGGGTGGGCTGTGAGCTCGTCCACACATATAGGCAATAAAAAAAAAATCGAAAATAGTTTTTATAGCTCTCAGGATCTTCATCTACTAATTCAGAGACTAACTTCATTGCACTTAAATGCCTTCTTGTTAACCATCCTCGAGTCTACCAAAGTCTTTTTTTTCTTGATAGTCTTTTTTTAAGTTTTTAGGTACATAAGCATTTCTTTAGCTACATTGAATATAGCAAAATATAGCTTTGATGCTGATGGCGCCATGGTTACTGCGATACTGTGGATTGCGCGACACTAATTTTTTTACGAAATTTCTTTCGCATATATCGAAACTACTTTCGTGAAACTGAGTTCAACATGCATGACACTAATTTCGTAATGTAAATTCCGCATTAAAGAAAGAAAAATATTTAATTTACCTGATGTGCATGTAAAAGTTTCCCTTCTCCTATCCATTGTTTAGTTTTGGCTACACTTTCAGGCACAGTAAAAATGTGTTTCAAGCTATCCATGGCAGTGACATACTGGGAGTGTCGTAAGTCTTCCTCTCGAACTGCTTGGAGAGTAGCAACAAGTGGAGGCACTCCTTTCAGTAAGTCCTCTAGTTCATCCATTCTGTTTGAAATATATGATATTTAATATACTGTTAAAAAAATACAGCTAAAGACTAGCTGTTGTACTCCTGCCCACAACACATGTTCAAAAGAGAGAGAGAGAGAGAGAGAACATACTTTATTGCATACCAAAACACAATTTACATTCAAGAACAGTTAACAAGCAAATACTACTCTTATTGGTAAAAGAGATCTCTTCCAGACAACTGTCTAATGTACAGAAACTCTGAAAAGAATGTGTGAATAATTACTGTAAAATCAATTTTCAGTGATAATTTATTTTTGGTAGTGTAATGTAGTTTTTTTATACGTAGATGGGTGACCGAGCTTACCCTACCATACCTGGAGTACATCCCAAGGTAAATGTTTTCACCCAACATGTCACACACCTATTTGTGAATCCTTCTATTTTCAGTTACTTTAATGAATATTAACAGCTATGAATAAAGTATAAAATATCTACAAATCATACATACTTTTTACTGATTTCTTGCACATCATCAAGACATTCCTGAAGTTGTTTTAACCCGACACTTACTCCATCTAACTTCCCCTGCACTGCAGATTTTAACTGTGCTTCTATAGAAGCCTTTTTGTGTGTAATTCTTTTCTTGTAATGCTCTACCTTAAGTAAAAATAATTTTAATACAAAAGATAACAATTTTGAGTACACATAAAATAGAAAGTAGAACATAATATAAATCTAATACATTTAAATACAAAATGTAGGTCTTTCATCCACTTTTTAAAAGTGAACAATACTGAAGGATTTTGAAGTAAAAAAAAAANCTATAGAAGCCTTTTTGTGTGTAATTCTTTTCTTGTAATGCTCTACCTTAAGTAAAAATAATTTTAATACAAAAGATAACAATTTTGAGTACACATAAAATAGAAAGTAGAACATAATATAAATCTAATACATTTAAATACAAAATGTAGGTCTTTCATCCACTTTTTAAAAGTGAACAATACTGAAGGATTTTGAAGTAAAAAAAAAAGTATGATAAACATATCAATGTGCAACACACTTTAAAAAAATATGTATATATTTATGCAAATTTGCTAAGCTATAGCCTAGATATTACATTTCACATAGGTCTTTCAATGTATTTTTTAAACTGCTAACATTCAATGCTAATTGTCTAATAATAAGAAAACTTTCTGTTTGAAAATCACTTCTAAATAAACATTTACATCACACATCATATTAAACAATACTTTAGCAATGATCCACATTACCACAAACTAGGAAGAGCACAGATGATTGCTTGCCCATATGAAACATTAAATAACACTTCCAAACTATCAAGTGAGATGCACGTCCTATTTTATTAATTTAGGTACCTATTTTTATTTTACTTTCATATAAGATAAATAATTAAAACAGAGTTGAAAGTGTTGCCGATAAGACAATCGCAGAATGAGTTAATTAAAGTGGGAGGTTAACATTTTTTTTGCACAGCAGATAGTTTATTGCTTACTTTCTCAAGCTGTCCAGGTCTTTGCATCATGTTCATAACCATTTTTTCTGCAGCTGCTTTAGCTTCTTCCTCTATTTCATCCATGGAACTCATGATGTAAACAAGATTTGGTGTTTACACAAATACAAATCTTAGAAAATTTATTAGTTTTATTTTTCCAACTGGAAAGGCAAAGATGTCATACCATACAATCTAATCTTTTGTGGCTTGGCTTGGCATGGCAACATGGCTTGAAATGATGTGAGATGAGACGAGACGAGATGAGATGAGATATAATTTCGGTAAAATGGTTGTCATTTACTGAGACTTTTTCAGTGGATTTTTTGGAGGATCCCAAGAAGTTACGTCTAACGGCTTTGTGTTATTCTCCCACATTTGTGCACTTTCACAGATACTAAACAGTTAATAAACCACCGTTATTACGCATTGAAACCTGAAGCAACACTAACCGACTTTTATATCGTTTACGTGTTTGAAAGCATGCAATGGTAGGTGCGGGACGTAATTAATGTACCAACTGTACCAACAATCTTCAATATTTAATAAACTTTTCCACAATTATTGAATACGCTAAGTGTCTACCTGGATGTAACGCACCTGTTGAAAGAGTTTTTCTCAAAGGAACAAAATGTGGACAAGTGATAAAATACAGTAATGTGTTGCAATAATAAAAGAAAATTTGTTTACGAAAACAAATATAAATAAATAATGTACTGAGTTCCACACGTATCTAAAAACAAGACCTGTAATTTTGAAACAAATTTGTTCGGCCGACAAATACAAAAATACGACATAAAACTCAAACCATCACTGGGGCTTAGTAAGTCATACTGCTATTTTGTGTTTAGCGCTTTGATTATTTTGGGTTATTCTATCTTCTATAAGAAAATACTTGTAAAATACTAAATACTTTTTTTTAATTCTATAGTTCACGTTAAGTATGTATGTACTGTGTCCTCTTTGCCTGTGTAATGGATGACAGTGACACGACAAATAAAACTCATGTTATGTCATGTTAATTAATTAGCTATGTACGGTACACGGTACACATAGACATGGACTTTTGGCGGGAACTCCAAAAAGAGCGCGCGTACAATTTGAAATTTTTTTAATTTTTATTTCAATTTTGCTATTTTTCATAAAAATACTAAGTATAAATAGTGGAATTTATTAGTGGTGACCCTTAGAAATGGAGGGTAACGAGGGGGGCGGGGATAACCCGCCCACCTCAAATAAACGTCCTCGCGTTGAGGATCGTGGTGGTGACCCCAAGGTGGACTTTGGCGTTGGCGGAGGCGGTGAGCGTAATGACTCTTACTTGCCTTTTTTTAAACCNTAGAAAATTTATTAGTTTTATTTTTCCAACTGGAAAGGCAAAGATGTCATACCATACAATCTAATCTTTTGTATATACATGGCTTGAAATGATGTGAGATGAGACGAGACGAGATGAGATATAATTTCGGTAAAATGGTTGTCATTTACTGAGACTTTTTCAGTGGATTTTTTGGAGGATCCCAAGAAGTTACGTCTAACGGCTTTGTTTTATTCTCCCACATTTGTGCACTTTCACAGATACTAAACAGTTAATAAACCACCCTTATTACGCATTGAAACCTGAAGCAACACTAACCGACTTTTATATCGTTTACGTGTTTGAAAGCATGCAATGGTAAGTGCGGGACGTAATTAATGTACCAACTGTACCAACAATCTTCAATATTTAATAAACTTTTCCACAATTATTGAATACGCTAAGTGTCTACCTGGATGTAACGCACCTGTTGAAAGAGTTTTTCTCAAAGGAACAAAATGTGGACAAGTGATAAAATACAGTAATGTGTTGCAATAATAAAAGAAAATTTGTTTACGAAAACAAATATAAATAAATAATGTACTGAGTTCCACACGTATCTAAAAACAAGACCTGTAATTTTGAAACAAATTTGTTCGGCCGACAAATACAAAAATACGACATAAAACTCAAACCATCACTGGGGCTTAGTAAGTCATACTGCTATTTTGTGTTTAGCGCTTTGATTATTTTGTGTTATTCTATCTTCTATAAGAAAATACTTGTAAAATACTAAATACTTTTTTTTAATTCTATAGTTCACGTTAAGTATGTATGTACTGTGTCCTCTTTGCCTGTGTAATGGATGACAGTGACACGACAAAATAAAACTCATGTTATGTCATGTTAATTATTTAGCTATGTAGGTACGGTACACGGTACACATAGACATTTCGACTTTTCTAAAAAAAATACACAATACAACAAAAACTGCGTATTGAAATGTTTTAAAAATGTTATCATTGATATTATTGATGATTCTTTCATTGATAGCTTTTTTAATCACCGATGAACTTATTCTTAAGTTAAAGAATTTATTCATAAACGCCGGCTTATATGGGATCGATTTATGCAAGACTGATAAAAATAAAATGTAAGTTTCTGTATTTTTTTCAAATAAAGAAATATCATTTATAACAAAATGTGATCTAAAAATATTAATTAACCAATATTTCAATCTTGCAGACCAGAGGCCTTAGGTGTTGTATCAGGATGTGTCTTCCTAATAACATGTTTTTTATTTATTCCTATAGCGTTTGGAAATGGATTAATGGATACACAACATTTTCCTCACAATGAAGTAAGTTCAACAGATGTAATAAACAATATATAAATAATTATCAATTTAAAAAACAAATATTTTATGAAATATTAGTATTATGTTGTATAAATACATTTTTATAGTAACTTATTTAAATTCTCTTGCGCATTACTAAAGTACAATGATGGTAACTACAGATGTTATTTATGCAATTGGGTGGTTGTCATTGGACAAAAATATCTAATTTTTTTATAGATCATCTCTAAAATATTATAGTTTTATCATGTTTCTGTTTTATAATTATAATCAATCAGATTGATATGAGAAACAGCCTCAGGAGAATAAACATGAAAATGAATGTATGATAAATAGCTGCTTCTTTCATTCGTTTCTCAAATGAAGTAAAACATCTATCTTATAGATTTTTTGAATTTATCATGTAGACAGGTGAATAAGCTCATATTTGGTACTAAATGTTCAAAGCCCATAGACATCATGATGTGACTGCCATCTGACCTCAAAACTTAAGATCTCTCTAAATTGTTTAGTAATTATGCATATTATAATTTTGCTGGTTTGATTGTAATTACCCATTATTCCTTTATTGCCTTCCATTTCATTCAACACTTTTTATGTTATTTATTTAATTTATTTCCATTAATATTTAACAAGTATTCCATCATTATATTTATATTCTAACACCTTATTGTTCATTGCTAAAATTTGCAATACTCATACATACATTTCTAGATTTAATATTCTAAAATCCTATGAACATTTCAATCAAAGTTAATAATTAAAAACCACCAAGGCGTTGGCTTTATTTACTACATTGACACAAATATAATTGTATTTTACCTAATCACTTTTTCCTTCTAAACTGATATTATCCTCCACAACATAATATGTATATATCTCATCAAAATAATATATTATTTACACATACCTAATGTTTATCATTACAGTGATAGTAATAGTAATTCATATTATTATTAATATTCAACTTTGGCTATGATCTGACTGTCTATGTTGTATATGAGATAGCAATTTTTTCAAACCGTGACATAAAAGTGTCCATTTCAAATCCTACATTAGAAAATGTTTTATTTATTATAATGATTATTTAATATTTGAAAAATAAGAAACAGTGTTTTTCATTTTTAACCCAGTGGTAAGATTTAAAAATCTTTAATCAAGAAGTCTAGATGAGAAAAAAAATTAAAAAAATATATGGAGAAATATGTAGAATAAGATTCTGCTCAAAGGTAATGTTTGGTAATACTTTAATAAAATACTTGTTAATTTTAGTTTGCAGAATTTCTGGCAGCATTGTTATCAATTTGCTGCATGCTACTTCTTGGATTTGCTGATGATGTGTTAGATCTTAGATGGAGGTATAAACTTGTGCTTCCAACAGTGGCATCATTGCCATTACTTGTGGTGTACTATGTCAACTTTAATTCAACAACATTCATAATACCTATACCATTTAGATCGTGGTTCGGAGTTTCTGTGAATATTGGTAAGATTTAAAAGCAGTACTAATGGAATTTTTTATAGTTTTACTACTAAAAAAGATTGATTCTTCTATTTACACCAACATTTTTTGTAGTAGTTTTAATTTAAACCTACTATAGACATTGCTACCACCATGCCTCTTCATGTTAACTGTACAAATTTGACAAATTTCTGGAAATATGATGTCAAAATTTCAATATTGTAAAACAGCTGTCATTAGTATAACCTTTATAATAATATGTATAACTGTTTGCCAACAGCAATAGGTAGAATGGTAGTAAACAGAAAACTCACAATGTCTTTACCGTTCTCATTCCAGGCTTTTTGTATTATATCTATATGGGTATGCTTGCTGTCTTCTGTACAAATGCAATCAATATCTTAGCTGGAATTAATGGTATAGAAGTAGGACAATCATTTGTCATTGCACTTTCCATTGTGGTATTTGATATTATAGAACTTCAAGGAGACCAATACAAGGCCCATACATTTTCTCTGCATATAATGATACCTTATTTGGCAACAACACTAGGACTGTTAAAACATAATTGGTAAGTATTTTATTTTCTTCAGATCTTTCTTTTAAACACACACTTTAAATGTATTTTATTTTTTCCAATATGATGTAACTTGTTTATTACATGTGTAGAGATTATAATGGGAAATGTTCTCGCCACTTTCAGGGCGATTATTTCTTTTTACTTTTTTTCCCTAGGTGGGTAGACGAGTCCACGGCCCACCTGAGGTTAAGTGTTTACTGGAGCCCATACACAACTAAAACGTAAATGCCGACACTCATCTTGAGGCATAAGTTCTAAGATTTGAGTTTTTACAGTAAAATGGATGCTTCACCTTTAAAACTGAAACACATTACTGCTTCACGACAGAAATAGGCAGGGTAGTAGACAGTACCTACCTGTGCGGACTCACAAATCGTCCCACAAACAGTAATTACGCAAATTATAATTTTGCGGGTTTGATTTTTATTACACGATGCTATTCCTTTGCCATGGAAGTCAATCGTGAACATTTGTTAAGTACATATTTCATTAGAAAAATAGATACCGGCCTGCGAAATTTGAACACCGGCACAAATGCACCGATACGAACGTATCAGGCGGACAGCTACGATTCAAGGTTACCGTACCATCTTAATGAATGCTGCGTATATGTTGGCCAAGAAAAGATCCTGGGATCTAGACTTGATATAATTCCGCTGAGATTGAGCGAACTCGTGACCAAAATAAGGGCAAGACGTCTTCCGGTCTTAATATAAATTCTAAAACGTGACTCTGGGCCATACTGGGATCACGGTGCACAGATGTCGAGCCCCTTGCAGGTTTGCCCACCGTCGAGGTGCCATCTGCATGTACTAGTTGAACCCTGATGGCGGACGCTTCACCTTCTGATTTACTAAGGTGCTTACCGGGCATATTTGAATATGAATGAATATGAATCTGGGGCCGAAAACTGGCTGACTGGAAAAGTGCCACATTCTCGGCATCGACGTGGTCATTACAAAACTTTCGCTTACTGTTTGCTCTGTATGGAAGAGGAAGACATTGATAATGGCCATTAAAAATGAAGTCGAAAAATAAAATTTCACGGCAAAAATGGGCAAAGTGACGTCTAGAGAAAGCTTTGTTGACAATCGCCTTGCTCATCGGTCAAAATATTCAACTCCCCGCTCTGCGGATATTTCATTCGGCTCCTGTCAGAGTAGGTGCTAGGATGTTTCTAAACACGTGAAATGGTCTAGATAAATTCGGACAGCCGGTAGAACTCTGGCGATCCTATCGTTGACGAATGCTGCCTTGCTACTGATAGATTGGGGGCATAACTTGTGCAAGATGGCGCTTGCCGTGACCTTCCACCACGATCATAGTTCTGTCTCGGCTTTTTCGAACGCTTGGGCACAAAAGCGACCTAAGGGTTAATGAATCTTCGACGCTCACATATAAATTTTACATTAGCTATTTCCAATATTTAGTCGTTTCACTTGAAAAATAATGCTTTATCATCTGCTTTTATAAAATACCGTGATTGTTAAAAACTTTTACCTCCTTCGGCCCGTATTCGGCCGATATTAATTACTACATAGTACATGTTAAGTATATTTTGTTGTTTCAGGTATCCATCAAGAGTTTTTGTTGGTGATACGTTTTGCTATGTGTCAGGGATGACCTTTGCAGTTGTAGGCATTCTAAGTCATTTCAGTAAAACTGTTTTACTTTTTTTCTTGCCTCAGATTATTAACTTCATATATTCTGTCCCTCAATTATTTCATTTTATTCCATGTCCAAGGCACAGGTTACCAAAATTTAGCGCCGAAACAAATTTACTCCATGCCAGTAGATCTATTATAATAAAAAAGGATATGAATGTTTTTACCAAAGTAATGCTTCAAATTTTAACTTTATTACGCCTAGTTGACTTTACGGAAGATAATGAAAGTATAACTATAAATAATATGACTCTTATCAATTTATTTTTAATTAAGCTCGGACCAATGTCTGAAGTAATGCTCACCAAAAAAATTTTGTTATTTCAAATTTTATGTAGTTGTGTTGCTTTCGTTATCAGATATCCCTTAGCAACTTATTTTTATGATAAATAAAATTAAGACGAAAAACAAAGAAATATTAAGATAAATTATTTTTACTAACTTTTAACTTTAACCTATTGCTTTCACTGTGTTCGGAGATGTTAGTTAAAGTCAAGATACATGTGTACAATACATGTGTTTTGTTACACAAAATACCTTTAATTTGTACTGATAATCTTCATAGTAATGCATAAAAATATTTGAGAATTTCACCTACAAAATTAATCGTCTATAGCCACTTGCCGTATCGTAAATCTTCTGAAAAATGAAATTCCGATATGGTAAAATATGTCTTAATAAAAACCGTAACGTGGGTGTTAGTTCAAGAGACCATGTTTTAAAATAATTGAGTAAACTCATGAAAACATTTTTTTTTATTGCTTAGATGTGTGGACGAGCTCACAGCCCACCTGGTGTTAAATGGTTACTGGAGCCTATAGACATCTACAACGTAACTGCGCCACACACCTTGAGATATAAGTTCTAAGGTCTCAGTGTAATTACAACAGCTGCCCCACCCTTCAAACCGAAACGCATTACTGCTTCACGGCAGAAACAGGCGGGGCGGTGGTACCTACGCGTGCGGACTCACAAGAGGTCCTACCACCAGTAATTACGCAACTTATAATTTTGCGGGTTTGATTTTTATTACACGATGTTATTCCCTCACCGTAGAAGTCAATCGTAAACATTTGTTAAGTACGTATTTCATTAGAAAAATTGGTACCCGCCTGCGAGATTCGAACACCGGTGCATCGTTAGATACGAATGCACCGGACGTCTTATCCTTTAGGCCACGACGACTAAACTAAAATTTCAAATTGTGAACCAGTTTTCACCATGATTCTGTGACGAAAAATTGAAAACCACTATCAATCACTAATATTATCCTACCACAGGTATCTACGAATCTACTAAATAAAAGAAACGTTCAACATGGAACTTATCTATTTGCCGCCATAGCAGTCGTGCGTTCCGGGCTAGAGTGAGATAGTCGTTACATAATACCTTCGATCAACAATTGTAACTAGATAAAGGGACACGTACAAAATCGAAGCAAAAACTGTCCGCGTGAATATACACATACATGGCTACGTTGGTTTACAACAAACGGAGAAAAAAGTTTTGAAACAGTAAGTTCAAACTAATTACAACTATGCCACCTAGTAATAAAGTTCCAAATCTCCAAAACATTATCTAATACTTACGATCATTCGTCACAAAGCAATAAATTACTCCTGTCACTTACAAATGAAAAGGCATATGTTAAACAACCTTTAATGTTAAATGAACCTTATGCGCCAACAAATAAAGTAATTTTTCCCGTTATAGCTTTGAGAACTAACATCGTTTTGTTTTATTTATTTTTGCTTCTTGAAATTTCAATTTCTATTTACTACAGGAGGTAACGGAGTCGCGTTGAACACTAAAATAATTTATTATATGAATAAAAGTAAAAGTTTAGTTGTTTACTTTTTATGTTTTGAGGATTTATGTTTGTTGGTATCTATATATTACTTATTATTTTATTAGCGTTACGTTTTGTGTAATAGATATTTTTATAGTATATTTTTATGTTTTCGCGACTAGTACATATAATAAAACAACGTTTAAACGGTTTTAAGCGCGATATTTTTATTACAATGCTTCGGCCACGTTTCAGTAGCCGTGAACACGGAAGGCAAAGATGTCCAGTGTCAATGAGTGGAGTTCTTAGCTGGCTTATAAAAGTAATCTCTTCTTTCTCTGGCGACAACCGAGATCCATTCTGCACACGTGATTGCTAGGAAAGCTAAAATAAAAAAGGAAAGCTAAGTATCCAATGAGAATCCAACAAACAGACACAAAAGCAGAATTAACCAATTTTAACTAACCAATTTTGAAGTACTGCTAACAAATTTTTAAAAATTATTACAACA